CCCCCCCCCCCCCCCCCCCTTAGGTCTATCTTTCAGATACGACTTCAGCCCGACGCCACTTTTTTTGACGCAAAGAAAAAAAAAACCAATCACAACTAGACGAAATGTAAGTGAAACGCCATGAATACTCCTGTAGGCAGTCAAGCGTAGCAGATATTGAAGGGAAACTACCTTAGATTTCACAATAAATACTAAATAGGAATCAACCAAGAAAATCCATCTCTTCAACAACAATACCAACAAGAAAGACCACACACAAAAAGTTCAATCGCCTTTATTTATTTTCTATAGTGAAATAATCATTTTGAAATGTAAATATGAACACAATGTGTTAAAGAAAACCAAGCATAAGTTATGTTGTAACCTTCATTCTTAAGTTCAATGGATGTTGGCCGAGTTGTGTGACAAGAGAATTCGTTTACTACCGAGCCGGTTGTTTCTTGAATGGCCGCTCACCGCTACGTCTGGTCCTTAACATTAAGGCGTTTTTAAATAAAAGACAACTAAAAATAATTTCCGTTAGTAAGACCTAAAATAACGTTTGCCACTGTCTGGGTTTAAAAAACTTATTTGCAATGTTTAACCTTCAACGCAATCTCCATAGCTGTTTGTTCGAGACAATCTCCATAGCTGTTTGTTCGAGGCAATCTCCATAGCTGTTTGTTCGAGGCAATCTCCATAGCTGTTTGTTCGAGGCAATCTCCATAGCTGTTTGTTCGAGGCAATCTCCATAGCTGTTTGTTCGAGGCAATCTCCATAGATATTTATTCAACGCAATCTCCATAGCTGTTTGTTCAAGGCAATCTCCATAGCTGTTTGTTCAACGCAATCTCCATAGCTGTTTGTTCAAGGCAATCTCCATAGCTGTTTGTTCAACGCAATCTCCATAGCTGTTTGTTCAAGGCAATCTCCATAGCTGTTTGTTCAAGGCAATCTCCATAGCTGTTTGTTCAAGGCAATACAAAAAAAAAAAAAAAAGAAGTTTTTGAAAACAAATCTATTAAGGGATACTCTTTTTCCGAAGTGGCAATAATTCTGTCACAGCGTAAGTGTAAGTGTAAGTGTAAAACCAAGAATTAAACAGAATGATTAGATGCTACAGTAAAGCACGGACACGGTCAATTGTAATGTGAAGGTCAAGTATCTTTGGGATTAGGTGACGTCACATGGGCATTTACATCCGTCCAGTGGACGTCCTTTTACTTTTGACAAACTTCACTTCTCTGGCCAACTGGCAGACGGCGCACGAAATACAGCAGCACGTGATGATGCAGTCGTTACAGACGGACCCCTGTGATTGGTTCAATTTGTTGACCGAAGGAGAGAAGAGAGGGAAAAAATGTTTACCTTATGTTGGCAAGTCTGTTTGGTCTGTCTGGTCTGGTCTGTCTGTCTGGTCTGTCTGTCTGGTCCTTCTGTCTGGTCTGTCTGTCTGGTCTGCCTGGTCTGTCTGCCTGGTCTGTCTGTCTGTCTGGTCTGTCTGTCTGGTCTGTCTGTCTGGTCTGTCTGTCTGGTCTGTCTGTCTGGTCTGTCTGTCTGGTCTGTCTGTCGGGTCTGTCTGTCTGGTCTGGCTGTCTGGTGTGGCTGTCTGNTGCCTGTCTTGTCTGTCTGTCTGTCTGGTATGTCCGTCTGGTCCGTCTGTCTGGTCAGTCTGTCTGGTCTGTCTGTGTGGTCTGCCTGTCTGGTCTGCCTGTCTGTCAGGTATGTCCGTCTGGTCCGTCTGTCTGGTATGTCTTTCTGTCTGTCTAGGCCAAACAATGTATCTGACTATCACATGTTTTACCCACTTTTACTATACTAATGAGTCTTGAATCGGCGATATCTTGTCACTTTGGTTCTGAGATTTACGTCACTATTCGCCAAAGTAAGGTGCTGGTGTTTACATTCCATTTTAAACGGACGTGAGGCTTTATATAAATGCTAAAAGGTCATTTGCAAATTGCGTCACGCTAAGGGGGGTGGGGGGGGGTGGGGTCGAGAATTTGTCATGTCATGTTTTTTAATATATATTTATACATATTTTTTTTTAAATCTAAAATTTTCTAATTTTAAAAAACCTTTATTCAATCTATTTTTTAAAACATTAACTTGCGGTCGAAATTGCCTCAGTTATTAGAGGCACCATGAACCTCAGTCGTGCACACCTTTGGCGCACATCGAAAAATGACGCTAAACTGTTGTGGCCATTTTACATTCGGCTGGGGGACGACTTGGTCGTTTGACGTCACGGTTTTCTAATAATACGACATCTTAATCCATTAGGGGAAAATGTTATAAAATAAAATCATAGTTTAGTAATGAAAATTGTATGTATGTTTTGATTTCTTTTAGGTGTGTTTGTAACGCTTGTTTGTAACGCGACGGGAGAGAGGTTAGATTATAATTTAGGTTTCACTTTATCTCAGGGCCATCGTGTGGGCCCTGCAACCCCTGCAGGGGGCCTCCAATATTTTGGGGTTTGGGTTGTGCTGTGGACACATTTTTTAATGATCAAATTGGAATGTAAGGTGGCAAAAAGACAAAACCTACACGTGACAGGTGGGCTCGGAATGTCTAGCGACGGCTCGGCTATTTATGCTATATACTTATATTTTAAAACTGTGGTTTTATCTTTTATTAACACTATTTGTGGGGTAAAATACTTAATACCCAAATGATTTTTTTTTAAATTCTAAAATAGATTTCCATTACAAAAAAAAAAAGAAAAGAAAAAAACAACAACAAAACAATATAAAAACAAACAAACCCTCCCAACGTTAGTTGAACAAAAAAAAACAACATAATAAATACATTTTCCAAATATTTCCAAGTTTTACATAAATCAAAAAGAACAAAATAATGTTTTGTAGAATGGCCTATACATTTTATGGATTGTCAAAACTGGTTGTTTTTATATTCGTACAAAAATACATAATTATGTTAAGAAGACATGAGTTGTTAACATCATATATTTATTAATGTGTGAATTTATCCGGCAGAAATTGTAAAAAAATTAAGTATATATTTCTCAACATTTAGTTGATTACAATATTTATTTGGAATTTCCAACAACTGCATCTTACTTCAGTTGAATTTTAAACATCCATTTTGATATACTTTAACACATTTTTTAAACAAATCCAAATAATTTAGTGTCCTGAAAAGGACATAACAAGAGCCTATTGTTGAAGACATCATATGGAAATGATGGAGGTGGATCATCTCTAACATGGAATCCACAGGGGAAAAAAGGAAGAGAAAAAGAAGAATACATAGAGACGTGAGCTAGAGGCAGACACAAACAAGTATGGAACAAATCTGGAAGTAACTGGAAAGGAAAGCACAAAACTGAGATGAATGGAGAATTCTTGCAGCCGACCTATGCCCCAGACGGAGTAAAATTCATAAGAATATCATAGTAAGTAGAATATCATAGCAAGAAGAATGTCATAGAAAGTAGAATAACATAGCATGTAGGATATCTTAGCAAGTAGAATATCATAGTAAGTAGAACATCATAGTAAGTAGAATATCATAGTAAGTAGAATATCATAGCAAGTAGAATATCATAGCAAGTAGAATACCATAGCAAGTTTACTTAATGTGGATTTTTTGCCCATGTACAAAATTATTTTTAAAATGGTAATAAAAAAGTACATAAATTTAATGCTATGGTAACAAAACAACTGAATACGTAACAAATAATTACTCTATTCCAATAGACTTAAAATGTTTTCATTAAATTAAATTCCTAAACGTACCGGTATGTGCTCCTGTGTCCTCATTTTAACTCTTAGTATGAGATCAGCAGCAGGCACACAGCACGGCAGACAAACACACTCGTCCATGTCCCGGGGCACCTTCATAGTCAAGCATGAAGTCAAGAAGAATCCACAGAGACCTGTGTGTGTTTTGGAAATGAAATGAGTTGACGATTGATGTCATACATGTTTGAGTGCTGTTACACGTTAATGAATTGTGCTCCATCACGCCATTCCTCCAGCCCCCACGCCAAAACATTAAAAAAAAAATCCCTTTCTAAAATAATAACTACGTCGCGTTATAAAAACAACAACAACAACAACAACAACAACATTTAAAGAAGTGTTTGATGATTGAATGTTGAAGCAGCCATTTACTTATCTTTTTATGCTGTGCATTTTGAATGACTAGGCGGTGCCCGCGTCTGGCTATGGACAGGCACAAACCTGTCAGCGATCACTATGGCTATTCGTACTGTCAGTTTAACTAGACTATATTAAGACGTGTAGCTCACATATGGGTATGTCTTCCAGACAGCCAAAGAGAGAAGATGACCAGTCACGTGACGCGTGCGAGACAAGGCCAGGCTGCTGGACAATGATGGTGTTTGTGGTGTTGCTGGGCTGGGGCTCAGTTTGGACCACTCCTCCCTGTCAAGGATGTCAGTGGTTACGGTGGTTAGAGTGGTTACAATGCTTGAAATGGTTACAGTGCATTGAAGGTATTGCATTGGTTAAAGGGGTTACAACTTTTAATGGGGTTAAAGGGGTTACATTGATGAAGTCTTTCCCCGATGGCTCACGAAGGCGATCAATAGAAAGCTGGACCAGTTTTTGCTACAGATTATGGCGTACGGTGACGACTGTCATGACACGATCTTGTGGCGTGACGACTGTCATGAAACGATCTTGTGGCGTGACGACTGTCATGAAACGATCTTGTGGCGTTACGACTGTCATGAAACGATCTTGTGGCGTGACGACTGTCATGAAACGATCTTGTGGCGTGACGACTGTCATGAAACGATCTTGTGGCTCAACGACTGGCATGAAACGATCTTGTGGCGTGACGACTGTCATGAAACGCACTTGTGGCGTGACGACTGTCATGAAACGATCTTGTGGCGTGACGACTGTCATGAAACGATCTTGTGGCGTGACGACTGTCATGAAACGATCTTGTGGCGTGACGACTGTCATGAAACGATCTTGTGGCGTGACGACTGTCATGAAACGATCTTGTGGCGTGACGACTGTCATGAAACGATCTTGTGGCGTGACGACTGTCATGAAACGATCTTGTGGCGTGACGACTGTAACCTGATCTCGTCATTAAAAAGCAACTACATAATGGTGTAGAGATTTCCATTCCTTACTTTGTACAACTCCTTTAACACAGACACACTTTGTTTTTGAATGAGTTTAGATACTATTTTTTTTTTAAAGTTCATTTTAAAAATCCAACAAGGAAAGTATCGACCAAAAGCCTTCATCATCGAGCAACGTAAACAAGTAGCAAGTGAGAAATGAAATAAATGGATGTATTATATTCTCCATTTTATTTAAAAAAGGGTCGGTAGGGGAGGCTTGTTTGAGAATCCAAAATCAGCTGTTTGCATAACGTCATCACTTTCAGAATGAGCTGTTTGCATAACGTCATCACTTTCAGAATGAGCTGTTTGTATAACGCCATCACTTTCAGAATGAGCTGTTTGTGTAATGTCATCACTTTTAGAATGAGCTGTTTGCATAACGTCATCACTTTCAGAATGAGCTGTTTGCATAACGTCATCACTTTCAGAATAAGTTGTTTGCCTAATCTCATCACTTCCAGAATGAGCTGTTTGTATAACGTCATCACTAACAGAATGAGCTGTTTGTATAACGTCATCACTAACAGAATGGGCTGTTTGTATAAGTCATCCCTTTCAGAATGAGCTGATTGCCTAATCTTATCACTTTCAGAATAAGCTGTTCACATAGCTTCATCACTTTCAGAATGAGCTGTTTGTGTAATGTCATCACTTTCAGAATGAGCTGTTTGTATAACGTCATCACTTTCAGAATTAGCTGTTTGTGTAATGTCATCACTTTCAGAATGAGCTGTTTGTGTAATGTCAGTACTTTCAGAATGAGCTGTTTGTATAACGTCATCACTTTCAGAATCAGCTGTTTGTGTAACGTCATCACTTTCAGAATAAATTGTTGATTAATCTCATCACTTTCGTTCTGATTATGTCGACTGAGGACACTCTCTGAGAGTAATGGACGCCACATCTCTAAAGTCCTTTAACTTGCCATTGGAAACACTTTGAAAACTTTTGTTAGATTGGAACAGTTTATACAGAGTGTACATCATAAGTGAGAAGGTGAGGGACACATTTTCCCCGCCCCTCTTCCCATTCCTCGAAAAAGATGCCGTTTGCCGCAATGTTGCTGCCCGGTGGACCATATCGTCCGAGACCCCCACACCCACCCCTCATATGTTAAGGATTTGATTTGTTGATTCCCCTTTTCTGTGACATTTGCAGCAAAAAATATAATGGTTTTGAAATTATATTATTGTGAACACTCCCCCCCCCCCCTTTTCGGCTACCTGGTTTGTTGATCCTTAGTTTCCTTTCATTAAATACTAAATATTGATACCATCCATCTGTCAATTGGTTGTTACCTGTGGATTGTTCTGAAAGCCGTAGGACATCCTGGGCGGTGAGATCAAAGACCTATCTGTGGAAACAAAAGATAAGTACAAAAGATAAGTACAAAAGATAAGTACAAAAGATAAGTACAAAAGATAAGTACAAAAGATAAGTACAAAAGATAAGTACAAAAGATAAGTACAAAAGATAAGTACAAAAGATAAGTACAAAAGATAAGTACAAAAGATAAGTACAAAAGATAAGTACAAAAGATAAGTACAAAAGATAAGTACAAAAGATAAGTACAAAAGATAAGTACAAAAGATAAGTACAAAAGATAAGTACAAAAGATAAGTACAAAAGATAAGTACAAAAGATAAGTACAAAAGATAAGTACAAAAGATAAGTACAAAAGATAAGTACAAAAGATAAGTACAAAAGATAAGTACAAAAGATAAGTACAAAAGATAAGTACAAAAGATAAGTACAAAAGATAAGTACAAAAGATAAGTACAAAAGATAAGTACAAAAGATAAGTACAAAAGATAAGTACAAAAGATAAGTACAAAAGATAAGTACAAAAGATAAGTACAAAAGATAAGTACAAAAGATAAGTACAAAAGATAAGTACAAAAGATAAGTACAAAAGATAAGTACAAAAGATAAGTACAAAAGATAAGTACAAAAGATAAGTACAAAAGATAAGTACAAAAGATAAGTACAAAAGATAAGTACAAAAGATAAGTACAAAAGATAAGTACAAAAGATAAGTACAAAAGACAAGTACAAAAGATAAGTACAACAGATAAGTACAACAGATAAGTACAAAAGATAAGTACAAAAGATAAGTACAAAAGATAAGTACAAAAGATAAGTACAAAAGATAAGTACAAAAGATAAGTACAAAAGATAAGCACAAAAGATAAGTACAAAAGATAAGTACAAAAGATAAGTACAAAAGATAAGTACAAAAGATAAGTACAAAAGATAAGTACAAAAGATAAGTACAAAAGATAAGTACAAAAGATAAGCACAAAAGATAAGCACAAAAGAAAAGCACAAAAGAAAAGCACAAAAGAAAAGCACAAAAGATAAGTACAAAAGATAAGTACAAAAGATAAGTACAAAAGATAAGTACAAAAGATAAGTACAAAAGATAAGTACAAAAGATAAGTACAAAAGATAAGTACAAAAGATAAGTACAAAAGATAAGTACAAAAGATAAGTACAAAAGATAAGTACAAAAGATAAGTACAA